TTCTGCAGGGCTGCACAGCCCCTGGGCTATCAGCCACTGCTCCCAGCTTTGTGTCATCACTGAACTTGCTGAGGAGGCATCTGCCCTTCATCCAAGAAATCAAGAAATTAAGGTAAAGAATTATGGGCCCAGCACTGAACTTGAGAAGACACCACCAGTGACAGCCTTCAGCTAGACCCTGTGCCACTGATTATAATCCTCTGGGATCTGCTGTTCAGCCAGTTCTCAATCCACTTCACTGTCCACTCATCCAGCCCACATTTCCTAACCTTCCTATGAGGATGCTGTGAGAGACAGTGCCAAAAGCCTTGCTGAACTCAAGGCAGACAATATCCGCTGTTGCTCCCTCATCCACCCAGGTATTTTTTTCATCCTACAGTATACATCTTACGTACTCAGTAAGATTTAAAAAAAAATAGAGCTCCTCAATAATTCCTTTATCATCTTCAGTCCTTAAGTGACAAATTCTATGGATCTCACAACAGCCTCCCAGAGGAATTACCTAGTTCCTCCTTCTAAGGCTGTAAAATATTATCAGGGATAATAATGACTTCTGTGAGATTTCTATCTCCTGTCATGGACAAACGGAACTCAGATTTAATCCACAAGTTTGTACCATAGGGCTATTACCATTTTAGTTGTCTTTCTGATATGATTACATGGAGGGTAAATAACATTAACTTCTCACAGTGTTTTCTTCCCTGCAGTACATACTTATTAAAACAAGTTCTAATTTCCTCTCTAAAGTTACCTGTTCTCACATTTTAGGTTTATCTACTCTCATAATCAGTCTGAAGGAGACATGAAACACAGTTTAGATGTGATGTGATTTTGCCTAGAAAGAAGTTATTCAGAATCTCTTGGATATTGCTCATCTCAAAGAAGCTCTGAAGATGTTTCCAAAACAAATGCATCAGTGATTATCTGCAGCTGCAGCTACTGAATTGCACAGAAAGATTGAAAGCATTCTCTTTAGACAAGTATTTTATCAATTTTATGTCTATATACAGGCTAGAGCTGAAAGGAACATCTTATAAATGATGCTAACAACTAAAACTTCGGAATGTCCATACATGGACCTTCTGCTTGAAGTAGGTGGACATATACCTAACATTCTAATGATCTGATGGTTCACTCTTCAGGTGTATTTAACTAATTTCTAGTGAGAAAAGAAAAGCAGTACTAAAAATCACAGGAGAAGTTCCAAGTGATAGACATATTGAATTGTATCTAAGCCATTTCTCTCCTGAGCACAGACTGGCTGTTGAGGGTGGAAAAGGACAGGAAGACAGAGGAGTGCAGACCGTTCAGTCTGCTCATGGAGAAGGGGTCAAATGAATTGATCAATACTTTTAACTTTCCTTGAGCACCAGCCTTTTGCTTTGCTAGAGAGCTTCAAAGGTCTCTCCACAAAAGCAGGAATTTGCCAGCATCTTAAGCTGTTTCACTGCATTTTACTTCAGCTGAATAAAGTCTGAACCATTATCTAAGAACCAGCAGCCAAGTTCCTCCAATTGCACCTGCTCTCCTCAGCTCTGCTGCTTAGGACAATGAATGGAAAAATACCTATAGTCTTCTCACTGAGAATAATCTCCCCTGTAGAATGAAACATTTTAAATATCTTTTATGAGTTACTAGAATGGTAGGCAGAGTATAATCTAAGCCAAATCACGGGATTTGAATATTCACAGCCATATTACGTTACCTTTATAGGAATCAAAATTAGTTCCATCTGGTTTTTGGTCATATTAATTACATAGAAGACAAACCAGAATGCATATATTTTCATAGAAAAAAAGGGAAAAGAAAAAAAGGAGGAAATAAAAAAAAAGGTTTGCCCTTCCAGCTCTGTACACTTAGACAGGATCAAATATGTAGACTATAATCTGCAGAACTCTCCTGACATTCTTAGACATAGGTTCCAGTTTTTTCACCAAATGACATTTAGAATTTTTGCAAACTATCCAATCATTGTTGTCAACTATAAAATGAACTAATTCTTTCTCACCAGGCAAACAAAACAAACCCTTTAATAATCTTTTATATACTGTAGAACACTCATACTTCCACTTTTGACACTGTTTCCTCAATTAATTGACCTGCCATGCATTGCATTTTCTTTCTCCTATCTTTTCTTCTACACACCTCTGTATCTCTAAGTTTTGTGTCCAAAACAGGACACTATATATAGCAGACATACCCCTGAGCTCCAGGGAACCCAATCTAGTTGAAGACATCCCTGCTCACTGCAGGAGGTGACCTGTAAAGGACCTTTCCAATCCAAACTATTCTATGATTATCTGCAATGGATAAAAACCAGCACTTAACTCTCAAACCACCTTTACAGTTGAACTATGATGAACCTTTTGCAGAAATTATTTTTTTTTCTAATTAACTACTAAATGAAATTTAATTTCGAAGTTGTTGCATGCTTCCTTCTCCCACAATCTGTAACTCCTCACTTCAGGCTTATTTGATATGCTTGGTGGTTTGGGGTTTTTTTCCTTTAGCAGAATTTTCATTTTTATTGACACACAGTAAATTGTGAGTTAATCACATACAAATACAGGTGATCAAACTGCTGATTTGAGCAGGAGAGCTTTTATTAGCATTGCTGAGGGAACTGAAAGTAGATTAAGTTTACAGTCCTGCTCCAGCTGGGAAATTACCTGGGGAAAAAAGGCTACTTTGACAATTAGGCATACTTGAGATAAATCAAACATTAATGAAAAAACCAACAATGCTGTCTAGTTTACAGAGTTTCATTTCAATGTAAAGACACACTTTCAGCTGTCCAAAAAAAAGGCCTTCTGCAATAACAAAAGAGAAGCTGTCTGTTGCAGAGCCAAGACTGGAAAACAAAGAGGGACAGAGCCATTTGCAGAGAAAGCATGAAAATTTTTTATGTAAATCTAATGTTTGCATCTGAGATTACAAAGAAAAAGAGGCAATACATCTACAGCGAGCACAAACGAACACTAAAGAAATCTTAAAGTGTAAATATTAAACTGGTAAGATGATTAATCAAATGCTATTTTATGATTCCAGGTATTATTACAGGCATCAATCATACCCAAATAGGCATAAGATTTTAATTAAACTTTATCCTTTAAAAAAAAAAAAAAAAAAAAAAAAAGATTAAAACATCTCTTCATCTGGCATTGTCATGCTTCATCCCAATGCTGTCCTTTGCATAACAAAGAATTCAGATCCCATGGGACCTTAGGAGTCACCAACAAAAGGCTGTGTTGAACAAAATTGCCTTAGATGGTTTCTTCATTTTGGAGATTCACTCACACTATTACACAGTTTGCAAGAACTCTTAATATGTGCTTAGTCATAAAACAGCAAGAATATCAATTTGGAAAGACAAATCCAAGTCTACACATTCCTATCATTTGGCAGGAAGAAGGACACTTTTCTTGCACTGTAATCTGTCATGTAGCAAAGTATCAGAAGCAGTCCTTGGAACCTAATATGTATAGAGACATTATTCAGTCTTTCAAAGTGACAAAAATGGCTACATTGCAGTCACTTATGCTTCTTATGCTACAAAAAATAGAAATCCATTTAATTTCTTTTGAACATTACAATAATTTATTATAATATTCTTCATGTGAGTTACAGTCAAGGAAGAAAATGAAAATATTCCATCACTTCTGGTAAAAAATACAGAAAATGATTATTCTACACAAAGGCAAGTCAACCTTCTGAAAGTAAACTCTAAAAGTGCAAGCCCAAAACTAAGTGTAGCATGTAAGTCTACCTGCACTGCAAAACCCACATACAATTCTAAAGCAAGCAAACAAAAAAGAATCAACAAAGCCAACCAATGAAAAATACTCAAAAACTACCACTCAACAGAAACATTTTGAAAATTAAGACCTTTAAAACAGCCTTAACTTCAACACTCAAACGGTATTTATTAAAAATTTATCTATTGCATTCACTTTGTACATATCAACCAACAACTATACTTGCCCCTTGTACCTCTATCATTTCAAATATATAAACCATCAATTACATACCCTATGTCAAAATTCCCCAAGAATGCATGTATATGTGCATATATGTCATTTACCTGTAGCAACATGACAAAATAAACTCTGCATCTACTTCATTACCATAAATCCCTGTAACTGAAATAACATGCCAAAATACACCTTATTTTCCACTACTTCTCAATCAATACTGAAAAATCGGCTCTTTCAGTATCAAGGACCATCACGTTAGAGCTCACTGTGGAATGCACTGTCATTCATGTTAAAAATATGTGAATTATTTTCTTTTCCCCTTCCCTCATATCAAGCAGTAGACTCACACTCTAGCAAGAACATTTTCAGCCAGTACTAAAGTTAACAGACGAGAAAAAACCCCACGAACAAAAAAAAACCCCAAAAAACTGAAAAACAGAGAAGGTTTGATACAATTTCAAGTCTGGCTCAGAGCTCATGAGATTGAATTTTATTTTAGAGAAAGATACAATACCGAGGTAAAGAGCAGTAGTCTTGCAATGAAGCAAAATTTAGACCATGTGCACATATACTTAAATTGAAACAGGTACTAGAGGAAGAAACAAATATCAGCTGTATGAAATCAGATATAAAGAAAACAGATTCTAGATGTTAAAGTAACTAACAATAACACAATTATCCAGTAATATTCTAATTTATATGCAATTCCTCCTTAAAAAAAGAGGGGCAACAATGTGCATACAAGTCCTCTATAAAAATACCAGCATGCACAATCTGTTACTTCTGATACTTTGCACCCTTTACTGTATGTGTTCTCTGGATGTTACTTCATGAACAGAATTACATTAAAAACAAGGTAATTTCAATAATACCTTTTTGTATTAAAGACTAACAACTTGGCAAGCATAAGCCACTATAGCATTATGTGTACTCCATCATACTACTTCTTTATATAATTACAAAACTACTCACAAGGATATCAGGAAGAAGCTTTTGTTTGCTTAGCAATAAGAGCCAGATACTCACAAAGAAGGGTCTTGGACCAGATCTTTAAGGTTTATCCCACTACGATCCTCGGCAAGGTTCCTGAAGCAACTGTCACTCACTAAAAAAAATAGAAATAAAATTAAAACAAAACAAAATAAAACAAAATAAAATAGGAAAAAAGGAGGTGGAAATTTAAGAATGGAACACAGTTCTTTTGATTAACTAAAAATGCATTTCAGCGTTGGGTGGAATTTGAACATTCATATATAAAGCCTGATTTTCATTGAGGTTCCACCTAATCCAAAGATGAGTCAACTCAATGGGGAGTGAAAAACACCATATCACAACTTATGCAGAAATAAACTGCACAAAATTCAGGTGGTGTCCTCACTATTTGTCCACCTGGAGGCAGAGGAAGTCTCACACATGAACAGTGGATGCACAGGTATACACTTACCCATACACTTAGTCTTTAATCATGCACCGACCAATATACTTTACTTAATCAGAAAAAGTGAGAGCTGCTATGTATTTAAATTCATAGTTATTCATGGGTTAGCAAAAATGTTTAATATGAGCAATAACCAAAACAAGTAATTAAGAGCAAAAATTTATTCAAGCAACTTATAAATAACTTATAAAGTGCATGTAAAACAGCTAGTTACTGTAATAACTGAAATTACAGTAAATGTCACAGAAGTTTAAAAGACTATTAGTGTGCTTTCATTTTCTTCACTAATTAAAGACAAAAAAAAAACAACCAGAAAAGACCTAAACCTCAAATTACAAATTTGTTCTCTTGGCTAAGTCTCTCAGCACATGTACCCCAATCCTAAAAGCCATGTCATTTCTCTTAAATAACCACAGTCAATTTGAGAGGTGGAAAAAGAGTAGTGGAACAAATACTTTTAGAACAACACAGTATTAGCTTAAAGGAATTAGTTATTTCTGACTACAGCAGACTTTCTGAAGGACACAAAGGTTGTGATATGGAAAAAAACAGTGTAAGGATCAATTTCCCTTAGTGGGCAAGGAAATCTGTGACACAAAGTTTATGAAGAAATGCATTATTGCTCATTCAACACAGAATATAGCCTCACATTTGGTGAACAGGGATGTGTTTAAAATCATCTGCAAAAGCAAGTGTTCCTACTTCTTTCTCTCCAAATGCAAAATACTCTCCTTAATTTACATCTCTAAGTATTCATGTGCATCACCAGGATCAAGAAAATGCAAATCATTCCCAAAATATATTGTTTTCACAGATTACAACACATACAGTGACAGACCTACCTAACATACTACAAAACTGCAAAATGTTTCTACTAGTGCTTCTGATTGGCAATGCATTTCACAAGTGTGAAACCTGTTAAATGTGCTGGGAAGGGCAAGTATTGGAAGAAAGCATCCCAGAAGAAGAGGCTGGTGTAGCTGATGGAACAGGTACTAGCCCTGGCCCTCAGATAAAGCTGACAGTTTGGGACTGTAAGAGAGGAATTTGTCAAGTGTTGAAAACATTCACCTCAACACTGTAATGACCAATTGATATCCCAAGCTTCTCTTACCCCGTCTCTGAACACAGTACCCCACAATTGCTCGCTGCACACAGCCCCTGAAAGCCATCTGTCTTTCACAAGGGGCCTCTTGTCTCCGAGGTACTTGTCTCAGACCTTAATTTTAAACAACTACCTGTGCTAACTAAGCCCAGACTCTCAGCTTGTTCCTCCCATGACAATTTAATCATTGTCCCTGTAACAAACTGAAAGTCACCTGTACTGAGTTCACAAGCACTTCCCCCATTGCCAGGGAAGCTCTGACTGAGCCCTTGAGCCTTCGGGAATTTTTCATTTTCACTGAACCCAAGACCCTTGAGTGCATCTCTTAACTCTTCAGTTAGAGGAGTGATTCCAACATCAGCAGACTCACAAACGACTACATACTAGATTTTATGGGAGAAAAAATTTCCACCTACATTGCTATTTGATAGTTTATATTTGCTTCTTGTGAAGTTTGGCAACAAAACAGCAAACAGAACATTTTACCTGCAGCCTTGTCATAAATCCTACACTACCAATGTTTCAACATATCTCCTATGCTAACACAATACATCATGAATAAAAATTATGCTCGACATCGTTTTTTCACTATTGACAAATCAAATCTTTTTAAAGCATTAAATATTTAATCTAAACATGGTGCATGTCTCTAGTGTCTCCTCCAATCTCCTCATGGAAAGCAATCACAGTGATAATTGAGGAAACTAATGTCATTATCTCAGAAGTTTTTTAAAGGGGAAATGAAAAATGACAACATAAAATTATCTTATCAGTAAAACTGGCCATTATTCATTTGTAACTCATTATGTTTAAAACACAAAATGTGTTTCAAATAAATATTTAAAATGAACGCCTAGATTTGCCAGAGACAGTCTTTGTTTTACTTGTCTCAACATAAATCTAGTATTATAACACTCTCTTTTTGAATGAATTTTAAAGTTGCAAACTTCCCTCCACTTGCAGACCTCGGCAATAAAACCATTTGCTAAAAAGACTAACTCAACATCAAATATGCATAAACTTTGAAAAATGTATAAACGTGGTCTCCCTGGTTTTCTTCTTGGATTGTAGGAGAATGAGAACAAAGTAAAGCTGCAAACTGGTAAGCAAGTCTCTTCTTAGGATACTGTTGTGGCCGGATTTAGAAAACAGTGCTTCAGATAAATGTAAAAAATTCCAAACCTGGTTTTATAATCAAGAATTCCTATAGTTTAGTTAATACTAACATTTTACTATAACCGCCAATAAAATGACCAGTATGAATAGCAACAGGAGAGTTTCCAGTGAATGGAAATAATTCATTTGAATAGGCTAGAATAAGCATTTGATCTGCATACCCAGCACAGCCATGCCCCTTCACACCCTTGCAAACTCTCACCATAAATAAATAAAACAAATGTTCAGCAATAAATGCAAGGTGGAAGCAATCAAGCAGTGCAGGTACTCTATTTCTCACAGCTTAGAAAACTTTGAATCAATACAGCACATACTTAAAAAATAACATATACCCTAATTGAAATGCAAGCTATTAATTTTAAACAGGAGAGTGAAGCTGTGAGGGTATGGCATAAATATCAGGGCGATCAATGGTGCTTTAAGGTTTGAGGGAAGAAAACTACAACATCAAATTGTACTACAGGCACAGTTGGGCCATGCCTAACTTCTCTTTGAAACACAACCAAGGGATACTTTTGCATAGGACATCTATATGAACACAGTCCCCATACAGGGTTTTATTGTCTTGCTCCAAAATTAAATTTTTATTTCTTAACCCTCCAAAACTTTATAAAAGCTAGTATTTTAAGCATTGTTGAGTGGATCTGGAGAGATACAGAACTGTTAGCTGCTCCTCTCTACAAACACAGCCTCTGGTCTGCAGTACACCCCCCACAGGTCCTTCCTTAGAGACACGGCAAATGACAGCAAAAATAGTGCCCTAAAGTACATTTGCTCTGTGGAGATTTGCACATACAGTGACAGTCTGTAAGGTGCCAGAAACGTTCTTAATACACAAAATATTGGCACGAATATCACAGGCACCAACTGAACAAAACACAGTCTGAAAAACATCGCAGTAAGGCAAAATCCCTAAACGTGCATTGAACAGTTTGACTTCCAAGTGAGCTGCTACACGTATCAAAGCAAACAGGATTTAGCAACAGCTCCAATTTCCCCAACAATCATCCCACTTCCAGCTCCTGCTTTCTATTACTGATGTTCTGTTTCTGACCCTTGTCTAGTCTTGTGCCTAGGAAGTAACAGAGGTGGGAAGCTCATAAGGGAATATAGTTCTCACCTGTCAATTACACAGCATACAAAATTCCTGATGGAAAGGTTAAAATCAGCATTCACACTCCAATGTGCAAACATCCAATTTGCAACAGTTGTGAAGCCTTCCCCCTTGGCATTTGTGAACTTCTAAACGTTTCCATGTGATTTTTTTTTTCCTTTGCTTTCTTTAGCAGAGTCTTAAATGAAACCACACTGAAGAGAAATAGATTATTAACTTGTCGATTTCCAAAGGGAGAAGTTCTTTAGCTATGAAGGCAAACTAATATTTTCTTCAAGTAGAGGCAGGTCATAATCTGTTGAGAAATGCATTCTAGTTTTAATTCTAGTTTTTAAATGTCCTACAATCTGAAAACCGTGTAGCTCTTTAAAAATGTCACTTAATTTCTTACATCACAGAGAGTACTCCAAGTAAATAAGGGCCTTCTTTAGACCAAATCACTTCCAAATCTACAACTGATAACAGTGATTTTCATATTTATATGATTTAGAAAAAATGCAATAACTTCCCTCAAAAAATGAACAAATACCTACACTTTGGTAAAAAAAATTAACAATTAAGTTTACCTCCCCCATATCTAAATAAGCGATTCCAGAAAATTACTATTACCTGCCAGATTTTACTCTTAGTTCCCAGAATTCAGAACAGCTTTTAGATTAGTGACTACCTGTTGATAAAAATAATCTTGACCACAAAAATGCTACACTCATGAAGGCAGTCACTGATGCACTACTAGTTTGAAAATACATGGACTACTACAACCTTGAACAGTATGCACTGAAGCATAAGATATCAGTTTCTTACATTTTTGTCTTTTAGTGATAGCATCTCCAAAGTTTAGGTCTTTTTCTTAGGACCTCTTCATCGACCCATAGTACTTTTGACAAGACTTTACCTTACCCCTCTTTTAACAGGCTCATTTATCTATTTAGGTTTTATAACAGATTCATCCAGCAGTAAATAAATACAAAAAATATTTAGTACACTTGGGATGCTCTGAAAAGTACTGGTCTAGCACAGTGTTGTATTCCAAGCTGGTTTTGCTTGCAACAATCATTACTCAGAAGTCTCATTCCAGATTCAGGTGGTTCTGTTCCATGTACTGCATTCAAACATTGCAGGATTCAAGTATCTTGCTTTTATGGGCCCAGCCTTACACACAAGGCAGTAAGCACCTTCTTTACCTATCATACATATTGTTGACTTCAAGAAATAACAAATTCTGCTAGGGAAGCTTAGGGTCTTAGGGTTTAGGATATAGGAAGGTAACAA